GGTAAAATAAAACTGAGATACATGAAAAGAAATGAGGTGATGGAGCTGTCCTGCATGGCGTTTTACAGTCTGCCCTTCAGCTGTTCTCACTGTGTAGTCTACAGCTACCTGGACTTCTCTTCATTCCAAATCAGCAACTAGCAGCTGCACTACCTTTGCAGCTAGAACAAAAAGTTCTGTGGGTGCCACATCTTTGTAATAGGAATGACACTAATTCTGTGACTTCTGGAGCAGGAGAATGGCCATAGCTATTCTGCATTTCAAGTGACTCATCCATGCAAGTGTAAGCACACATGCCAAAAGCCATTGCAAATGCTAAAATAAATGGTGCCAGCCAGACTGATCTTTGCTGTTTATTGAAGCCTTTCAAAACAAAAGGTGGGGTAGTAGAAATCAGGAATGCTATCTGCTCTTTAAAAAACAACCCCAGGTCATTATATTCTCTGACAAAGCTACACTTAGGGAATTGCTGTCTTTAAAAACACTCCCAGTGTACTGTGAGTGCTCTGTATCTGCATAGATTTTGACCCAGCAGGCAAAGTCAAATTAGTCGAGTTCATCATAAGCACACTGTATTCTAACAATGTAGCAAATAAAATTCTAGATATCCCAATTAACAAAGAATATCATACCCTCTGACCGAGAAAAACAACATTTAATTTCTTGGTTATGGGATCTCAGCAGGCTTTGCTTGTGACAAGAGTAGAAGTTATTTTCTCTCTATGTTACTTTTTTTTTACCAAATGTTTTAAAAATTGCTTAAAGAACCTAAAAGGTCATTTGAAAGGCCTATTTTTACTGTCACTGCCTCCAGATTACATTCCATAACTCAGTTTAATGTGATCTGCAGAAAGCCAAGATTTTTACAAGCTAAGATATTATGTCTAGTCCAGTTAGAGACACGACAAAGTTCAGTGAGGAGGGGAGAGTGAAGATCTAGTTTAAGAAATGTAATTTTGCAATGCCTATAAAACATGGAAGGAAAATATCTCTCTGCATTCAGTTTTGATGACTGAACATGTTCATGACCTTTCCTAATGTAGAGGACCCCTACCAAGCTCTTTATGAGGAAATAGACAAATGTCTGAGGACATCTGTTTAACAGCGTGCCAAGACAAGGTTCACTAGCCTCCCAGAGTAGTCCCTGCTCCTGTAAATAACTTTCTCCTGGCTTCACCACCCACAAGCCTCTGTAGTCCATAAGCCACTACAGAGAATAGTGGGGTTGGAACTTGTTCTTGTGTTACTACTGATACTGCATCCATCCACTGTATCTTCAGATGAGGAAATCTACTGTGAGTAATTCGCATATATTAGATATAAATTTTATATAGAGATCATTTATCAGGCCACATTCATCTCCATAAGTACAAAATACATTGAACTAGAAGTGGATTAATCTGTGTCAGACTAGCCTGTTGCATTGTAGGGGCAAGAAGTTACTCATTTGAGTCTGGACCGTGATTCCGTCAGCTGTTACCCTTCCAGTTGCATGTTGATAGTGGACCACTTTAACCTTTCCAGTAGTCACAGTACTTTGCAGTATTTGGCCCCACATGCTTAGTTTATACAAGTCAGCTGGCATCAGTGTTTATGTGAGCCATTCCAACACTGAAAAGATTCTTTGCATCTTTGCTTTTTATTAACTATTTTCTTGACAATCTTACTATGACTACCAAAGTCCCACATTGTTTGAAGTTCTTTTCTCCTAACTGCTGGCCTTAAAAACTTGGGTGACTGGAGTATCTTAAATCCAAGTTATCTTTCTCTGTGTTATAGGAGGGCTGAGGTAAGTCAGAATAATCAACAGAGGCTTGCAAAGAGGTTGTTTTGTTTCATTACAGCTGCATTTGTCTCAGCAATTCACTGAAAATTTCATTCCTACTTATTTTGCAGTGGCACAAAAAGTACAAACCCACAGCTGGCCTCTACTGCGTGAGTCAGACAGCAGACCCATAACAGTTTTTCAGTCATCCAAGGGTTAATATACAAGGTCCTCAGATTAAGACTTTAGTATGTGTGATAGGTAGGCATCTGGAGATTCAGAAAGAAATCTTGCTTATGTAAAGACTCCTTTGTTTTCCTCCTTGTTTTTCCATGAAGATGGTTTCTACCGTGGTATCTTAACTGCTGATTATGACTTCTGAATATAAACTCCTGTAATTTTCTTCAAATAGACCTATATGTTATTGTAAATCCATTTGGCTTTTCCTAGTAAACTAATAATCCTGTCAGTGAGGCTGATGGAGGAATTTTAACAACTGTATTCTGCCTGGTGGAAGTGACAGAGGCACACATTTCAGTTGTTGGAGTATCAGCCCAGTTGTTTGTCCAGTAGTAATTGTACTGACCTAAAGAAAGTTATTTCAGATTTACATTGTCATATATAAGACTATAATTTTGCTTATTGCAGTACATGACCAGTGTTAGCAGAGCACCCCAGTTCCTATTAAGTGTTTACAGGCAGCAATAACAATTGCTTCTTCCCTCACTCTTCCTGACTTACTACCTAAGAAAAATAGCTTTGTTTTGCCGTGTTATTGTCCTTACTTTGTGAATGTGAGTGATTGTGGTCTGAGAGAGTTTGGGATATGTCTAAAAGTAGTCATGAATACATTTGGTTTGATAGTTCTGCAAAAGTGTCTAAAATGTAGGAATTTATCCTACATTCATTTTTCCAGTTCACTTTTTCCTTCAGTGGGAAGATGTAAGGTCATCTAGGCAGTCATCCTATGAAAATTTGGTCTCCTGTATGGGTATTTTTTTAACATGATTTTACTGTCTGGTGGCCAAACTAGCTATGTTTGGTTGCATGTGATAGAGGGTACAGAAAAAACATGTTCAGGGGAGAGGCAGTGCAGGCAGCTAAGTGTGTGCACTGCACAGGAAAATCATTGCTGTTAGTAAGACAGAAATATTTCTATTTCAACTTTCTTGGATTTGTTCTTTCATTCCTGATATAATTCATTTTGATACAGAAATAAGCATTGGGTGATTCACTGAAACCTTAAGACCCTAAGGTATTTCATAGCTTATGTCTAGAAATTAACTTTTATTACTGTGGACATTTGAATATCAAATTTGAGAAACATAAAAGGGTGTCAGCAATGAGGTCTGACTCAGAAGTACCTGTTGAGTATTCTGCACGATAGATACCAGAGCATTTTTTGAAGGGTATTGCCTTCTGGTAGTACTTTTTCAGTCTTTCTTAATCTTAGTTTATCAGTTGCATTTAACCTTGTACTGCTTTAAGCTAAGCATTGTTAAACTTGGAAGATGTTGTTGATCAGTATTGTAGGAAAAAGGGATGTCATAAAAGGCTGCCATTCAGACTCCGAGTGGTGTTTAATAAGTATGCAAATACAATAGGAGGGAGGAGTGAGCCTTGAAGGAAAAGTAAGGTTTTGATAATGAACAATTATACTTGTGTCACTCCCAGCTCATTTGATTAACCTCAGTAACTGGTGAAAGTGGTTTGACTGTTGAACATAGATCACGTTTGTCCTACCTGCACGGTTTCAAATGTTCAGCTGCACCATGTTTTCCTTTTCTCTTATCCTCTTGTTTTCTAAACTGATCTATTCTCTCCTCTCCCTCCTGACGGACCCTTGAGTGTGACCACACAGTTTCCGTTACATGGACTTGAATATCTCAATAAGTTGGAGGTCTTAATTGTGCTGGATGATAGCAGTGCAAGAACTTGTTAACCACTGTTTGCAGATGATTTCTCAAAGAGTTTCCTCTAAATTTCATTATTAGGGGGGTTGGAACTAGATGACCTTAAGGTCCTTTCCAACCCTAACTATCCTATGATTCTATGGTGGTGAGGCACTGGAACGGAGTTGCCCAAGGAAGTTGTAAATGCTCCATCCCTGGCGGTGTTCAAGGCCAGGTTGGTCAGAGCCTTGGATGACATGGTTTAGTGTGTGGTGTCCTTGCCCATGGCAGGGGGGTTGGAACTAGATGATCTTAAGGTCCTTTCCAACCCGAACTGTTCTATGATTCTGTGATTATTTGGAGGCTCCAAGTATATTTTGTTCAACATAAATTTATTGTTTATGCTTTGCATGCAGCTTAAACTTCTGAATGTGCGTTTTGCACTTGAGAAACATCAGTGTGTGGAGTGAGCACCCCATTTGTGTCTTGAACTAAAGCCCATCAACCTGAAAATCATGGCACTAGTAAAATGAGGAAGACACTAATGCTTATTGTGTGTAGTCACATAGTCACTTGTTTCTGAATAAAAAGGGCAATTGCAAATTTAAAGTTTTATGTCAGGGCTGGTGTTCAGAACACTTCAGATAGAAAATTAAGAAACAAGATTATAGACTAGATCTATCATCTGAATTCAAGTAAAATGCTGCAGACTACTAATGACACAGATGAGGTACATGGGAGTAGGACAGGGCAACCTTACAGAAGAAAGGGGAGTGTGTATGAAGACAGTAGTGTTAATGATTTGAATTGACTATAAAATTGGTCACATTTTTAATCTTTTAACTTTTAGAGTTGGGGTTTTTTACACCTTTAAAGGGTCACATAGAGCTTAATAGTGATAAATTCAGTTGAGCCCTATAAAGATTCAAAAGCTCTTTAAAAATCTATACAAAACTGTAAAATAATACAGCAAATGATACCTCCTATGGACTGAAAACCAACTGATACAACTTCAGAGGAAAAAAAAAAAATCTTTAAATGCTGTGGTATATTTTCTTTAATGTTGTGGTTGATTAAATGTCAAATGACAAATGTCTTTTCTCCTGACTGGAGTTGCTGGGTACTTGTTGCTCCCATGGATTTGGCATAGGGCATTACTCAGTGTTTCTGAACTCAAAGCCCTGAGTACATAGCAACTTTTGATTTGACTCAGCTTGCATGTTAACGGGGTTGTTTTTTTTTCATCTGAAAGTCTTGCATAAAAATCATTTCTAATTGTTTGCATTTTCTGTGTTTTTTGGTTTTGTTCTTTTTGCCTGCTTTTGGAACTTATGACTATCCAGTGAGAAGGACACTAAAGAGCGGACTGACACCAGAAGAAGCCAAAGCACTGGGCCTCATCAGCACCTCTGAGATGCAGGTTTGACATCCCAGAGGTGGTGACTGGAAAAGCCGTTCATCTGAAGCACACAGGCTGACAGCTCTTCAGTGTGGCATTGACCTGCCAGCCTCCTCTGCTGCTCCCAACATCCCATCCTCTGTCTGTTTAATTTTAATAAGCAATGAGAAGTGAAACTCCACAGCTAGGGCAGAAGAAGGGTGTGCCGCAGCTCAGCACAACATCTGGACAGTAACCAAGGAAACGTTTGAGTGAAAGGTGAAAGTATATGGCGGCTTCTTCTCATGATGTGTTGGTGTGGGTAGGAGGGGGCTCCCTCCGAGTTATCTGTCATTATGTGAGCTGTGTTTACGTTGGCTTACCTTGCACCGTTTTAGTCATTGTAAATGTATGGCATCTTGTCAATGCAACAAATAGTCCTTAAAGAGGCAAAATAAGTCCTGTTACAGCAACCCTGATTTTCCTAAATCAGATTCATTAAGCAAAGATGCACAGTCTGTGCAACCCTGTGGTTTGTTGGGGTTTTTATTATTTTGCCACCAAAGAATGTAAAAATGTATGTGTACCCTTGTATATGTACAAAATGAATGTGTAGACGTATATGTGCAAGTATCTATACACATACAGTCATGGTGTGAAATCATGCTCTTGCTGAAGCTAGCTGGACTATGATTTTCACTCTGGGGCCTTACCGTTCCACCTTGACAGAAGGAAAAGAATGTCTTTACATAGGAACTCAGTGTTATTCAGTGGGATTCACCCTGTGGGGCAGGAGATGGCAAAGTTTAGGATCCTGAATTCATATGTATTACTACACACTTATACTGTACATAGCAGCATGCACACAAAGGAGAGGACATGGTATGCCTCCCTCCTGTTGAGCTGTGGTTGTACTGTGCATTTGTGCAGTTTCAAAGAGACCTATGCCAACAATTTTACATACTTGATAAATGCATTCAGATGCTAAGATCAAGAAGTTTTGTTCACTTGCCTGTGCCCTTCATGCTGCTTTTCTCTGCTGCAAGATAATGTGGTGGTGATTTTATTTCAAATTAATGGATCTGAATATGAAATGGCCCTGCTAAAAGCCTGCTGTGTTTATGCTGTTCTTTATTTCTGTGACTATTTTTGATGCAAGTGGAGAGGGTACCACAGTGAACACTCCAATATGTTTGCCCTTATCTCGCTCTTTTGTAACTGACTTTTATAACTGCCCTCAGCATGTGTGTTTGAAGAACTTTTAGTCAACTCATCTGCCTTTAAGTGAAGGGACACATACAGCAGTGAAATTGAATTGAACGCAGTCACCCTAGCCAGTGTTGAAGCATTTTGAAGAGAACTGCAAACAACAATATAAAAGGGAACTTTTAAAGCCAAAGTCTGTATATGGCAAATTGATTCTCAAGGATTCTCTTTCCATTGCCTTAGCCTCCAAGATTAAGGGTATGTCTGCACAGCAGTAACAGCTGAGGCTTCCTCCAAGCTATTTTAACTAGGGAACTGAGGCAGTTTAGTCATGGTAACAGGGTTTGATTTGGGCTCCAAAACACACTTGAAAAGTAGGGTTGTTTACTAGCCTATGCCATAGCTGTGTTACTTCTGGCACCCAAGCTAGGTCAGGTACATCAAGTTATTCAGCTCTCATTAAAGAGAGGAAAATCAGTGAAGGTTGTTCAGGGTAGTTAAACCAAACACTATAAACCTTTGAAACCTCGGTCATTCATCACATCACATTGATCATAACATCCAAGTTGTGAGAGAACCAGGTAGCTGAAAACACTGCAGTGAGATTTGTGGTTGAACATCCTATCTGTGCTGTCCATTTTTTTGATCATAACATTTCATTCTTTATCTGCTGATGCCTCAGATCTTCACATGTCAAAGTCCATGGGATAAAAAGTCACTGATGAGTAAAGATTCTTAAGGACAGCAATGAGTTTGATGTGGTTTTCCTCTCAACTTGTTAAAAAAGTCAATTTTACAGGTAGGCAGAAGGCAGTAGTTATTAATAAAATGTGTATTTGAAAGCTATGGAAAGGAGGAAGCTGGTTAAGATACAGAAGGAAGTGGCATATAATAAATTTCACTGTAAAATAAGCAAGACTGAAGAGCATCTGGGTTTTAAAGTGGATCTTTATGTGCTGCTCACCATTATGGACTTTTAAAATCTCTCTTAAGAGAGAGGGTGCTTAGGACAAAGAAATGAAGGTTATGGGGGTTTGTGGAGGTCTTTGAAGTCTGAAATGACAGGTAGACACCCTGAATGTAATGATTATGTTAAACTGCGATACTTGCTGCATGATAAAAGAAGCAAAAAGGCAACAAAACACATCTATGCTGACAGAGGTCCTATATTTGATTGGAGGGAGAAAATCAAACACACTTTTAAAACTGAATATTTTAAAATATGCTGAATGTGCAAAGTGGGTGGCTCTTGGTGACCACTTGCTAACAGGAAATAAATTTGTGTTTCATTAGTACAGTATCAGTGTTTGAAATATGACATATAACATAGCTGATGAATTACTAACAGTGGGCATATGTATTTTCCAAGAATTGTGCAAAAATTTTGCAGAACTTTTTATGCTCCTTATGGAGGAGAACATGCAATTTGGGGAATGGTGTTAGAATAAGTTCAGGGGAAAAAATAACAGCCAGTTTCTTTGATATTCTCTGGATGCAAGTATCTCACATCTGAAGCATATTCTCCCTTGTCGATTTTTCCATTATGTTTGGTTTTCTCTTGCTTCTCTCTATCTGTGAAACTGATACCCATTTTTCTGAAGAGTAACTTGGTCTTGTTTCTGCAGTAGTGTACAGCTCAGATTAATTCCACATCCTCAACGTTTATTGCAGCCAGATCATCAAACACAGTAACTTGCAATAACTACAGAAGAGATTTCTATTTGGGTTCCTGATAAAAGTGGCCAGTGGCCTGGTACGCTAATCTGTAAGGTGGCAGGATTTCCTCCAGAGTTTGCCAGCGTGTCCTACCTGTGGGAACAATATTTGTTCCCCTTCACTTAACTAGTGGATTCCAGATGAAATGGAGGAATTGGTTACATTTGCATGACTCTGTCTGATCAGGTTGTAACCTTCAAATTTTTAGTTGCTGCCTGCCCTTCCATCATCAAAAGAGCCAACCATAAGGTTGTCATACTTGTTTTTAAATGTGTGTGAAATACAAATTGGTTTTATGACAAATATAAAGGTATTGGAAACATGATGTATTAACACGTTCCCATTTCCCATTTATAGTTCCATGAAAGCTGTTTTTAAACACTTGTGGCCATAATAGCTACCTCCCTTCTCTTTGTCATAGCACCAGTCAGTTGCAAATTTAGTGCCCGGAGTTTTGTACCTCCACCAAGCTCTCAGAGTTGCTGCTGGTGTTCATTTCAAGACCCGTCTGCTGCCAATAACTTGTCTGTCCATCTGCCACCATAACGCCTTCCTGATTCGGATGCTGAGGTAAACTTTAGCATATGAAATGACTGCCAAAGGGAAGCTATCCTAATTTCTTTTCATCTCCCTTGGTTTTTAAAAGCAGACTGCATACAAATACTTTGTATTCCCTCATTCCCAGCTGAGGGATAACTTTCAGTAGCAGTTATGTGGCTGCGGTGAAGAAACACCCCCAGGGAATGCTGTGTGCCCCAATTGAGAGTGAAAGATCCCTCACGAAAGTTGCATTCATCACTCTGCACCTTTCAGTAAGTCCAGGCACCAGGCTTATGGATTCCAGATGTTTCATACCCCCTTGGCTGCTACATGTGACCCTTCTGTTTGATAGTTACCTGTCCATAATCCAAAATCAACAAAAAGTGTTGTTTTAAATGAGGGTGTTTCTTGCTCCAATAAATACCGGAAACAGCATCAAAAGCAGTTTTCAAAATACATTTCTTTTTCTCTTTTGACACCCTTTTATTGTGAATCTTTGCAGTCATTGACTGTCAGCAAAATAAGGCATCAGTTTTATAGGCAGACAAGACATTGGCTTTAGCTTAATAGAAAGTCACATGGATATCTAGATAAGAGTGCGCCATTCTCCCTCAAGGTACTAGACAGTGTGGCAGGATGACACCTTAAATCCCCAGTGTGCTATGCTCTAAGTGTACCACACAATACTGTGTAGGTATTGTTTTTACAATGCTTTGATTTCACTAAGATGAGATGGGGACAAGGTGCTAACCTACCAGTTTCACATCCTTTATCCTCCTGTTACCTCTCATAAGTAGGCATACATGCTGCCTGCCTTTTTCTGAAGGATGTACAGGCAGATGGTGTCAGAAAGAAGCACAAGCATATTCTTCTCTCTTTTTCACTCATCTATGCTCACTACACATGTTCCACTGCTCTCATTATCTTCATGGCGGGTTGTGTGTGCATGCATAGGCAAAGCCTGACCCTCTGCTGTGTTTGGATGATGGCTTTGTATTTCCACCATTGGGATGCAAGAAACACTTGCCTAAGCTGCAAGGGCTATGACTGTTGGTGTTCCTCTGCAGGGAAAACTGCCAGGTACTTACAGACTCTGAAAGAAAATACTGAAGGGTTTTTGAAAGAGAAAAATGTTTGGTTATAGGGAACTGTTGAAAATCATTTGCAAACGTGACCAAGGTGTAAGGCCTACCTTTCTTCTTTTCAACTGGGGCAGCAACTGGCTGAACTGGCATTGCAGACGCAATCCCAAGCAGTTTTTGGCAAGCGGTTTGATAGTTACATAGCAAGTGCTGCGAGGAGTTTCAGAAATGTTGTGTAGTTTTATGTTTACGCAAAAAAAAAACCTATTAAAATTATTTCTAATTAGTCCGTTTCACATTGAGTGGCAGATAGAGATATATTTTGTTTAATCACTATCTAACACAGAGGCTTCTGTGAAAGAAAAGGTTTATTTGTAGCATTGGGAGCATTTCTCCTTTTTAAAGACTGTCTTTGCGCGTATAGTGTCCTTTTTCATGAGCTGGGAATTACTGTAAAAAAATGTAAAGTAGAAAAGGACGTGTTTCTTAGACGAAGGAGAAATACTGTAAAATTGTGTAAATGTCACTACTCATGGGTTTTTTTCATGTTCTGTGTAGCATAGTGTAAAATAGGCTTTCCAGCAGTGTTATTCTGTGAATTGTAATTTAAAAAACAAGCCATGCATGGTCAGAGATATTACCTAAAGGTCCTTTTGGTTGAGCTTTTGGTTTTGTTTGTTGTTTTCTCATTTTAGGTGAATTTGTTTTATGTTAAATTTAATTGTCCATGAAACTGCATTTTTTTGTTTCTCATTTTTATTTCATAAAGAACTTGAATTACTCTTTAAGGTTTTATTACACACAGAGCTCACCTACTGTTTGTACCTGTCCTTCAGAGGCTTCGTCACACTTAGTGTAAACGGGAGGTGGTGGTGGTGTGTGTTTCTTTTTAATGCACCCCTCACCTGCCTCTTCTACCCCCACTCTCCCCACTTTACTGTCTGGAAAGATGCAATCACACTTCTTTTTTCCTTTCTTTTA